AATGGAGCAAGTTTCTTTATCAACTATTTTCGTTTACTTGAAGTGCATGTAGACCTGGTTAACTCAATTTGAGTTTTTATGAGTTCACAGAGGTCACGTGTTCCCGAGACTCTGAAATGAAGTATATTAGAGGAAGTATGGTCAATGAAACTTTTTTTCGGTTGCTTCCCGTTGTTCAACCTCGTCCTTCAGTTTTAAGCTAGCATTTTCGCGATCCATCTAAGCAAAAGATCCTTGAAACGGCATGTGTATCACCTGTAATTCTAGATTGGATTTCCTCAAGCGTTCTACAAGATCATTCGCTTCGGTCAATTCTGCCTCCTTAAAATGATGCAAAATAGCAAAATTATGGGGTTTACCTTCTTTTGTAGGTTGCTGACTAGTTCATTTTTCCAGTTTTCTAGCTTTATCGCCTCGTTTTTCAATTTCAGCTGCAAAAGCGGTAACCTGTTTTATAAATATGATTAGGAAATTATATAACCTTTCCAGTCTAATTGAATCGGAAGCGCGATCCACTGAAGGTGTTGGTGCCGGTATTTTGCGCTCTTCCACGATCTCGTTTGAGGCTTGAGGGGCTTCTTCTTTTTCTCCTTCATCATCTTCTTCGTAGACTGTAAGCTCTGGTTCTGCAAGGTTCTCGTCGTCAGTTTTTTTCTGCAAAGAGGGTGACTTTCTGGTACTGAAGCCCCTCAAAGAAAAGTCCTTTTCGGCGCGCCCTGATGAGGTCGTGACTACTGGCGACTTATATACCGGCGACTGGCCAAAACTTGACATCTTCTGGAAGCCCCCTGATTTTGCCTGACCTATTGTATATTTCAGGGCTGGCGAACTTGGCGCAGGTTCACAGTCTTCAATGCTGTCCATGCTTTGGTTAACTTTCGGCGATTCCCTTGGTGGCTCGTTAAAGAATTTTGATTTCCACTTTTGAGGGCCGGACGTACTACTTAATTTGCTTTCATTTGCATCGCTTCTGTTTTTGAATAAACTGGATCGTGAATAAAAGTATTCCATCGAGTCGTCAAGGTCGGATGAACTGTTAAGATCACTATCACAGATAACGTCCCAGAGGGCATTTTTGGCGGAGCCAGTGTTTCCTTGCGTCACGTGGTTGGGAAGGTCGTTTTTTATCTGCGGACTGGCTGTTGACTTTTTGAAGAAGCTCGTTCCATAAAACATTTTTTTTCTTTCTTTGCAGTGGCCTTGTTTACTACGTCCTTCGTACACAAATATAATAATATTCAGGCAAGAGCTTGCTTTCTAGAGGAAAAATGAATACATTTTGAAAATGTAAATACAAGATTGCTGCTTACAGGGTAATATACTGAGGCCCAATGCGGCTGTTAATTGATATGTAAGAACTTTTGGCTCTTCACTTTTGTGTATAATTTGACCGTAGTTGAATACCACTTGTGAATTTATACTGACTACGATATGGTTTTTGGATGCACTTTCAAGTCACTAGTTCCCAAAATGACTGATTAATTATCTTAATTCCTTAATACCTGACATTACAAATGTGCTGTTCTTCAAAGTGTATCAGCCCTCTTGTCCATTTTCGCATTAGGCTTAAAACAGAGGCATATTAATATATAAAAATGCATCTAACCCAAACGGCCTATCTGAATTTATATCCAGCCTTTCAATGCCTGATCTTTTTGACACAGTTTGCCTAGATTTGTGTAGAATGTTGACATCTCAGCTAAGTACTTCATTGATGATTCTAAATCTCAACGTAAATGCGGTATTTTTTGCAAAATGGAAACCAAGGAGATATTTGGCAAGCTGGTAAAATAATACATGATCTATAATGAGAGGTTTTGAAGTCAGTGTTAATAATTCTAACGTTATTCATACTCCTGTGTAAAGACTCGTTAAAATATAACGGCTAATTTGGAACATAGACTAATGGTTAATGAATGGATTTCTCTTTCAAGACCCATACCAAAGTCCTGAATTATGTAAAATTAGTTTCCCGTATGTAAACTTAAAGTTAGTTGGCGAATACGCCTATTAGCAAGGATTAGTTCACATGAATACCTAATGTCTCCGGTAGAGTTAATATATGAATATAGAGTTAATAGAGTTATAGAGTTAATATATGAATCCTTTGTAATATGTGTCGTTCCTCTACTCCTGCATGGTCTGTTTCTGGGACTGGGGAATACTTTGCTGTTGGGAGGACAAGGCACGTCACCCAGACAGAGACACAGACACTCCGAGGGCACGCCGGACCAGTCAACCTTGGAACAGTGGGAGGTGTTACAGGAGCCGATCTCGTCACCTAGACGTCAGACCGTGCGAGGTCACGTGAGGGCGTCCGGCGCATACAGGCTAG